AGAAAGGGAGGGTTAATTCCCCAAAGAGCCATTTTTCCAACAAGGATGGGTTTAAATGGAAACTTTCCCATCCGATGAATCACAAACCTAGAGGCGCCACAGGGTGGGACTTGGGACTCAACCGGGGGCTGTGCTCAGATTTGCACCTTGAGAGCGTCTCTGCATTCATGCTTGCCCACTGCAAACAGGGGGCTAGGAAGAGAAAGACATACCAAAGCACTTTTAAATGCTATTTGCAGCACACAAAGATGGACGCTGCATCATTAGAAAGAGCAAAAAACCGACAATGTCTGCCAGAGGAATGGCTAAATGTACCATATTGTTCTCAAATTAAAATTCTGAAAGACAAGGGAAATACAAGTACGCTAAAGGGACATGAAAGACTTTCAAAAATGTAATTAAGTGAAAGGAGACAGCTGCAGAGTGATATGTGTAATAAAATTCTCAATTATATACAACTTTGAAAGGCCTGGAGGATGCATGTGAAACACAGTCAACGCTTACTCGTGGGGGAAGGCAGGATGGGGTGAGTGTGAGGGAGGGAAGGGGTTTCTGCTTTGCTCCATTTACTGCTAAACCGTTGTGTATTTTCCAGCTAACACATATTCTTGTATCCCTTGTATGACCTTAGAACACACAGAAAACCTCCCTCTCGTGCTCTGGGGAAGAAGTTTCTCTTGTACCACTTGTCACTAGATTCCTGATAATATAAAATCGGATTCATCCCAAATCCCAGCAAATAATGGGCCCCAGGGTTTGGAGCCTGATTTGGTAAGGACCGCAGCGTGACAAACCTGGGGTTAGGGTGGTGACAAGCAGTCAAGCTGGAAGAGGCCACCCAGGAGAGCTCTCTTCTCAAGATTTAATCCATCATTATCAACCCTGGGAGCACATGGATTTGACGCCCAGCTCTGATAATGCGTCAGACTTCCAGACACAGTTACCTGGGCGGGAAGGAGGTAGGGTGGAAACATACTTCTTGTCTCTTCAGTGGGGTCCTCGGCCTCCACACATACACAGTCTTCACACATACCCCCCAGAGGGGGTGACTTACTGGATTTGCACCGCCCTGCACGCCCCTCCTCTGGGCAGTGAGGCTGCACAGAGAGCACAGCCCCAGTGGTATGGGTGGAGGGGGTGGAGAGCAGGGGCTGGGCCACAGCTGTCCATGACGGGGGGAGAGCGTTTCTTTAATTCCAGGGCTCAAAAGTAGGTTACCCACCTGCCTACCAAAAAAAAAAAATCCACATTCTCCAATATAAGCTTTGTCAGAATCAGTGGCAATATCTTCAGCTCCTTTTCCCTTCATTCTATTGTTGTGTTTTTCGACTGGTTCGGAACTCAGGGGGAAGAAGGGTCTTATTTACTGAGCCCTTCTGAACTTTCAACAGTGAATGAGGTTGCAGAGGGCTAGATTCTCAACAGCCAGATTTAAAAACCAGTATCAAAGGCACTAAACTTCGTAGTACCAGCCATTTTCTGATGGGACTCAGCCAGGCTCCTGTAAGTACAGTGAATTGAAACACTCAAGCACGAGGAGAAGCTGATCAAGGACCAGGCTAGAAGGAAGGCTGGTCTGTGCCTACCTATTTATCTTGAAACTGATGGCATCCTGTTTGGACTTTGGGTAGACTATATTCCCTTAAACAAATAAAAAAGCAATCTTCCTCCAAATCCTAGATCCTGTTGGCTCAGTCACCGGACATCCGATCTAAATTGTACCCTAATTTCCTGTTCATGTGTTATAAATCTGATATCATACATTGACGTTAGGCATGCCTAGTCAACTACAATATTCTTTTACACTTCCATAATGACCCCTCACCCACTTTTTATCACCTTATAAGAAAAATATACTAGGAACAATAAAAACTTGCAGTTTTTATGGCCTGTTACTAAGTCAATGACTCAAGTGGGGTAAAAAAAAAAACGGTTACGAGTTAAGGCAAACAGAGCACATCCTCTCTCCCGTGGTTTCTGAGGCTTACACTCTGTACCTTAGTGCCACCATAACAGGGAAGGATGGTAGGACCAGTCTCTTGACAAATGAAGGTAACTTCTAATGGGATGAAATATCAGATACGTTGTTCCCCCAGCCCCTTTTATACCGCTCCTTTTAAACATGACGTCAGTTTTGTTCATGTGGCCCGTGGGATCTTAGTTCCCTGACCGGGGACTGAACCCGTGCCCCCTGCAGTGGAAGCGCGGGGTCTTAACCACTGGATTGCCAGGGAAGTCCCAACATCAGTTTTAAATATGCTGGATGCAGCACTCCGCCAACAGACAGGATTCTTGTATATGCAAGACAGGGTGGGGTCTTATAAACAAACCCGAAGAACGCTAAGTATTTACTGAATTAATACATAAATGGAAGGGGTGGGGGGAAGAAGTGGTCTTATTAGACACAGATCCTGCTATGCTAATTACTGCTAGAAGGCCATCATTTCCGGTGAACACACTCTATCCTTAATGTTACCTTAGGTTGATGACTTACAGCTAAACATACACTGGACACAGAGGGTCAACTCAGCCAGGCCACAGGGATGTGGCTTGAAGCCCCTCATCCTAGAGGGCCCATGAGGGAGTTACTTTTTCGAAACTCGGATGTCTGTGTGTGCTTTACTGGCATTTTAAAAATGGTCGATTCGCTAAGATTCCTGTATGCTGACATCACTGCGCCCACATCCTAAAGCATGGACTCCGCAGCTCCTGTCCACGTGTGGCACAGCCGACGCAGCGAAAGCCTGGTGGTGCACTTCCACGTGCACCCCGAGGACATAGTCAAGGACGCTGCCTCTTCACCACGTTACCATGTCCTTTCTACCAAGATCCACGAGAGGAACTCTCCTCAGGTCTTAGCACCAGAAAAACTCTGCGCAGCAGTTTTTTGACCTTCCAGTCCTCAAAAAAAAATGTACTTAGACTTGTTTTTAAATTTTAAGAGTAATATACCTACTTGGAAAAAGTTCACAGCCTAAAGGGCACACAGGGGATGTTGGTGGCATTGAAATGGTCTATTGTGGGCATGTGTGATGGGCTCGTAGGCGTTCGTTTTACTGCTGTGCTTCTCAGGCTACATGTGTAGCACAAATGCCGTTTTAGACGCAGTGAATATCACCCTCTCTTCCTTTAGAAATAAGTCATGTAACTGTTTTTTGCACAGGCTACTAGGAAGCCCACAGCCAAATCTGAGCCTCGCTCCCAGGGGTACAGTAACTTAGGACATGCATTTTTTTATATTAGCCTAAGCCCTGGCTTACTTTTATTCTTCCTACCCTCATTTTCCTTTAAGCACAATTTCTTTTTTTCCCCCAGCATTACTGAGATATAACTGACATACAACATTGTGTGAGTTTCAGGCATACAATGTGATAATCTAATAAATGTATATACTGTGAAATGATTACCACGATAAGGTTAGTTAACACAGCTGTCACCTCTCAGAGTTACCTTTTGCTGTTGTGAGAACATTTAAGATCTACTCTCTTAGAAACCTTCAAGTACACAATACAGTACTGTTAACTGTAGTCATCATGCTGCACATTACATCCCCAGACCTATTCATTTTAAAGCCAGATGTCTGTACCCTTTGACCAACATCCCCTCATCTCCCCCACTCCCTGGCGACTACCAATCTACTTTCAGTTTCTATGAATTCTAACCAAAATTTCTTTATTTTTATTTTCTATCTTCTCATTTCTCCTATTTGTGTTTTCTCATAATAAGCTGCTTCAAATCTACTTGAGAATCAGGTGGGTTATTTTAATGCTGAAAAAGGCCTTGTTTATGAAGACCCTAGTATTAATGTGCAAACAATTAAAAGCTGGGGCTCTGACCCTCGGGGTTGCCTCAGGATCACCCGGTGCTTCCTTCCTAATTGCCCAGCTCCACACACACAGCCTCTGGACCAGGTGGCAGGTTGGTATGCGCTCCCGGGACATGGGTTCACGAACTCTGAAAACTTCCTCTGGAGACACAGCTATACTCGTGCCCCTGGTTAAGAACCCGACTCAGCTCCACATGCCTCCAGATGAGCTCTCCTAGGATGGACACATCACCTATGTAACGTCTTGGCCTGTAACGCAAACCTGAATCTGACCACAAGGAAACATCAACCACAAAAGGAGAAATGTCCTATTTTTAAAGAAGCGGAAGGACTGTCTTCTTTTAAAATGTCGATGTCATGAAAGTCAAAGAAAGAAAGACGGGGGTGGGGGTGGGGGAGTGTTGAAGCTGAAAGGAGGCTAAAGAGACACGACAAATCAACGTAATACCTGAGCCCACACGCCGGGCACGGGGAAGGGGCTGCTGTAGAGGGCGTTAATGGCTCTGCTGGCAAAACTAGGACATGCACAGTAGGTTAGTCAGGTAAAAATACTGCCTCGATATTAAATTTACTGAAGTTGACAATCACATGGTTATATAAGAGAACACTGTTGTTAAGAAATGCACACTGCACTCCAGTATTTAGGAGCAAAGGGCCATAAACATATGTAATTGATCCTCAGATGGTTCAGAAAACATATTGTGTGTGTATGGGTGTGTGTGGAGAGAAAGTAAAACAAACAAATGAGCAAAACGCTAGGAGGTGGTGAGTATGGGTAAAGGGTATACAAGTGCCCTTCGGGCAGTTTTTGCAGCTTCTCTGTACGTTTGCAATGATTCTAAGTATAAAGTTTAAAAAGATAAAAGGAAAGCCCGTCTCTGCCACCGCACAACCCCAGTGATTTTTCAAACAGGACGAGGTTTCCTTCGTTTCCTACTGCCTTGCTACCATTGAGCGGCCCTGGGACCCAACAAGCAGCTCCGCCTGGAAGAGACAAACGCGCCTCCCCTGCCCCCGCCCCCAGGAGGCCCAAACCCACTCTTCCTTCTGGGAACACAGGCCTCCAAAGCCCACTGAGATGCAGACTCCGAATGAGTTATTTCCTCCTGTTCTCCCAGTTTTTAAAGTTATGGGATTTTGACACCTGGGGGCAGACCCAGGCGCAGAGCCTCACCGTGCCGGGCCTTGTGAAGTCCACGCTGCGCGCCAGGCTCTGACGCATCTGGTTGCTGAAGAGGCGGACGCAGACGCTCTGCAGGTACTCGGGGGTGATCTGCAGGAGGACAGAGGATGGACGGTGGGTGAAAGGGGTGAGACATCCCCGGAGCCGTGAGAGGCACCCTAGCCAGTGTCGGAGCTGACTCTCGACAGCCTCTCCGAGGGCACAAAGGTGAGCTTTTGCTTTAACATCGCAGCCCTATGGAGTTGAAGCACTGAGCCTGACGCAAAAACTAACCCACTACTGGTGTGGTCACGGGATAGCATACTTTAAGTTACAGAACTCCACTTAACGTACTCCTGCAGTCATGTAGAATAAACTGATTTTTCTTTTTTCTTTTGGCTGCACAGGGCGGCTTGTGGGATCTCAGTTCCCTGACCAGGGATTGAACCCGTGCCCTCAGCAGTGAAACTGCAGAGTCCTAACCACTGGACCGCCAGGGATTTCCCATAAAATAAACCGATTTTAAACCATTTTTTGTTAATTCAAGCAACAAAGTCACTGGGTGGCCATAATGTGATGGAAAGAAAGCCGGACTGAAAATCTGAAGATCTGGGCTCAAGCAGTGGACTCGAGAAAACCAACAGCTCTGCCTCCTGCTTTCCTGACCTGTCGGATGAAATGAACGAGGCCATGGCTCTGCGTCACGGGGAGGGGGGTAAATGAGATCAAGGGAGAGCCTAGCACATGACAGATGGCTCGGTAAACGCTTATTGAATGCGTGACGGAGACACTTTATACAATGTCCAGCGCTAGACAACAGGCGGCTGGGTTACTGCTGCATCAATGCCACTGCATCATGGCCTCTTCCTTCAGCATCTCTCATACCTCTCTCGTTAGCTACCATGATTGAGGATGGACATCCAGCATCTGAGGTGGTAATCTCTGAAACGTTTTCATCTTATGTCTTTTCTTTTTATAGGGGTAACATGTGCTCATTTAAAAGGTAACACAACCTCTCCCCAGCCCCACCCCGCAAGCCAATCCCTGGAGGTAACTACTCTTAACAATTTTACCCGCTTCCAGACTTTTTCCTGTGCCTGATTGTGAGAGGGAAGCTCCTTTTCCCCAGCCTCATGATTCCATGTGCTGAACTTCCATATGGTAATGTAACTGGCTCTCTTCCTACCCCTCACTCATTCGTCCCCACAAGAGGAAGACAACTCAACTGGTTGGTGAGTTGGAAAGAGTCAGTACGCTGGGCTAGACCCTTTTGTCTCCCTGTGGTCCTCCTGTCTGTCCCCTTGAAACATCTGGTCTGTTTCGGCCACCAGAAAGACTGCCCCTCTGTGCCAGATGTCTCTGGTCATCCCTCGACACTCAGCTATAAGTGACTCAGACAAAGAAGGGCCCCATCTCAAGGCTGCACCTCCTACATTATCCTGAGCCCATTTCCTCTGAATTCCCACAGTATCAAAATTTAATCATTCCTTTTTCATCTGGTACATTTAACCTTTCCTTGTAAACCTGTTCCTTCCCTACAACCTAGAAACATATCCAAATACATTTAACATTTTAAAAATACCTTCCCCTCTCTCCTCCCTAGGCCCTCATCTATCAACCACACTCTCAGTGTTCTTCCTTCACAGCCAAGGTCTTTGAAAGAATAGCCAACGTTTGCCGCCTCCCCTTCACTTTACCTTTCAACACACCACAGTCGAGCCCCCATCTGAATCACCCCAAGGAAACTCATGGCAAAGGCCACCACCAATGACCTTCTAAGTGTCAGAAACACTGGACACTTTTCTGTTCTGGACTTCTACAGTTTTCTGTGATTTTGGAGACTTTGGATCAACCCCTTGCTCCTGAAACTGTTTCCTCTTTTGGCTGATACCGGAACTGATACCAGACCCATCCCTTTAACAAGGAAATCTGATTCTGTCACTCTCTTGCTTAAAACAAGTGAGTGAGAAAAGGACATGAATAAAGAGTTGACTAAAGGACAAATATATAAATGGCCAAAAAACATATGAAAATATATTCAGCCTCATACATAATTAAAGAAATGTAAATTGAAACATTCAGAATACCAAGTTTTACTTACCAAACTGGCAAAAATTTCATCGTATAATCATGTCCAGTGTTGGCAAGTGTGTGGAGAAATAGATGCTCTGATACGCTACTGGGGGTGGAGGGTGGGTAGACATTGTTGAAATCTTTGGAGAAATAATTTGGCAAAACATCTCTCAGAGTTTTAATGCCCATAACCTTTGACCTAGCAATTCCATTCTTAGGCTCTTATCTTACCTATATTCAAAGGTATACAGTATATACAAGGCTGTTCATTATAACAGTTTTTGTTATAGCAAACAAAAAAATCTAAATGTTCCTCATCAGAGATCTGACGAATTATGGTTCACCCTTGCAGTGGAATAATAATGTACAAGCATCAAAAAGAATGAAGTAGGTATGTGGTCATGTGGAAAGATCTCCAAGACATATTGAAAGTGAAATAGCAAGTTTGAGAAGAGTAATGGATCACAAGATCCCAAGTAAGTATGTGCATACCGTATGCACACGTGCACACACATGCACACACGTGCACACACATGCACATGCATAGAAGTGTTCTGAAATAATACACAAGAAAGTGTTAATCTTGAATGTCAGTAAGAAAATGAGACTTAGAAATTGTGTGTGGAAGGCCTTTTGCTCCTAACTATATACTCCTCTGAATTGTTTCAATCTTTTACCAAGAGCACGTATTTCTTTTACATGAAGAACAAGCTAGTTAAGATTCCAGTGTCCCCCCAACCCCATCTCTCCCTGCTTTGATAGTGGAGGCCCTTCCAACGCCTGCCTGGTGGTCTGCAGGCCTCTGCTTGCACACTCCAGTTGTAAGAGCTCATGTGCCCATCTGTGGCCCGCATGCCACACCTGGCGTCACGTCGACCCTGGCTGTAGGAAGCACACCAGGATGATGGCAGTTACGTTTTAAGAGGAGAGAAGGCAAAAGGAAAACACACACTTTCTTTTTATTTATTTCTGTACTGTTTGAATTTTCTTTCTTTTTTCTATTTTTTGGGCTCGCTGTGTGGCATGCGGGATCTTAGTTCCCTGACCAGGGATGGAACCCGTGCCCCCTGCAGTGTAAGAGCGGTGTCTTAATCACCGGACCGCCAGGGAAGTCCCTGAATTTTCTATGTGCATGCCTTCTTTTTCTTCTTTTTTGTCAACAGATGTGTCATGACACATCTTTATCTCAAAAAAGACACATGAACAATGGGGGACCTTCCTTACCATCTTGCCACTGACTGTGGCCTCCAGAGAATCCACCAGCTCTGCTGTGACTCCGATGAGATTGTGGTAGTCCACCTGGATCTTATTGTACCGTTTCAAGTACGTCATTGACCTACGCTCAGCTTCTACCAGCTGCTGGTGGAGCTGCTGCAACACTTCTAGGAAGACAATATATATTTATAGTAAAACAAAACAAAAAAGTAACAATTTAAAAGACCCCTACAAAATAAAAAATAATTATATTCTTCTCAAGGGAATACCATGCCTACTGTCAGAATATTTTACTATAACAATGAACTTGACGCTCCATCTTTGCATTGAACTCTCCTTCTGTCTCACGCCACTTTTAACTACAAAGTGTTTTGTAATCACTGATTTTTTCATTTCTTATCCCCGGTAGTTCAACTGAGTCATCACTGGCTTTCCTAACAAAATCTATTTCCTTGGCTGAACCCCATGCAGCTTCTTTTAGTTCCTCTCTCTGTGTACCAGAAACAAACTCATTGTTTCTTTCTAGAATCAGCTCACAAAATGGTTGAACCAAAACTGAGTTTTTTTTCTCTGTTTGTGTCCCGTGAGGTTGTCTGGGGGATAACTCATAACCGCAAGAGAGTTCCTCATTTTAAGTAAAGGTTAGGGCTGCTTGACAGGTGCTGAGAAAACTCAAATCCAGAATTAGGTAAGATTCCAGGTGTTCATTCTGCCAGTTTGATGAAGCATAAGTCTTAGAGCGGCAGCCTTGGGAGGGTCTAGGGTTGTCTTCTTGGAATCCCCCCCACCCTGGCCCCGTGGCTTGATGGCCACGCCGCCCTGGGCACAGCTGGACCATGCAGATCTTCTTCGGTGTCAGTGCTCCTCGGCCCTATCCTGCTTTTTCCCTTTCCTGGAAGGCTGTGTTTTGGATGGAAGGACGTGTTGCTGCCCCCAAACCCACGTTAACTCAATATTGTCCCGATCCAGGCACTGTATAATACTGAAAGTCTTCATTTTAGAACACATTTCATGTATACAGAGAGAGCCTTTACAATTATAAAGACCAAATATAGCCATTATTTTATAATAACTTTAATGGAGTATAATCTATAAAAATATTGAATCACTTAGGTTGTATACCTGAAACTAATATAATATTGTAAATCAACTATAATTCAGTTAAAGACCTGGGTTCAAATCTCTACCCTACCAATTTCTTGCTGGGTAACCTGGGGCAAGACACTTAATGTCTCTGCTTCTCATTTCTTAACTTATAAAATGGGGAAAATGATAATGATCTTGAAGGGTTATTGTGAGGATTAAAGAACACATATACTCAAAGTGCCAAGCACACGGCTGGCCCATAGCAGCTGCCCATACGTGGCAGCTATTATTATTATTGCCTTTCATAGAAAGGGGTCAAAGATTTTCTAAATATATTTCTATGCAAGTAGATGACGTGAAAAAGTGGCAGAAAAGTTACGTCCTAAAGCAGTGGTATGCAAATTTTGAAATATATCAGAATCATCCAAAAATAAAGATGATCAAGCTTTACCTTCAGAAACTCTGATTTTGTGGATATTGGGTAGGGGCTAAGTATCTATGCTGTCAACAAACTCCCGGCTCTGACACAGACCGCAAGTTTGAGAAACACTGTCCTAAATTATGTTTTCCTCCGAATTTGTGTCCTAAACAGCGATAAGGATCACCCACATTCAAACTGTATTTCAAAAACTTTTATGTGTCACAATTGTTGATGTGCAGAAGTAAAATATTTTAACTACTGAAACCCAAAATATCACATAATGAATTATTATTATTTAACACCCATCAAATCTCAGTATTGAAAGATAACTTTAAAAAGTCATCTGACACAGGGCTTCCCTGGTGGCACAGTGGTTGAGAGTCCACCTGCCGATGCAGGGGACATGGGTTCGTGCCCCAGTCCGGGAAGATCCCACATGCCACGGGGCGGCTGGGCCCGTGAGCCATGGCCGCTGAGCCTGCACGTCCGGAGCCTGTGCTCCGCAACGGGAGAGGCCACAACAGTGAGAGGCCCGCGTACCGCAAGAAAAAACAAACAAACAAAAAAACAACAACAAAAAAGTCATCTGACACAAATTTACATCCAGTACTTGAACCTTTGGAGAACATTCCTAGAAGTCATTTATCAATCTTCTCCTAATATGATATTGGGAAGGAGTCACTACCTTCCTCCTACACTAAGTATCATTTAAGCTTTTTCATACATCCAAAACTCAAAATTACATAAACAAGAACTTCCAAGGATGAAAATTCTGGATTATTCATAGTCCCATTTTATGGGAATAAATATTAAAGAGTATCTGTGACATTTTTCTCAACGTGTACCAAGTGGCAGATGAATGGAATACCAAAACCCATTAGCTGGGTCAAATGACTTCCCAAATTCTCAGGGTTAATGTCATCAAAGTAGTCCCTCTCCAAAGGGGACTGCAGCAAAAAACTCTTGCCCGCATAAACTCACTGTACGATTAACTAAACGTTAGGGACTATTTGTGGAACTTTTGCGTTGGGAACCCAGAATTGGAATTTATGACAGTTTCAAAGTATGGTAACCTGAGGCAAAAGAGCCTTAACTGCCAGCAGCCTATAGGAAAGAGAGAAGTAGGCAACTGGGCTGAAACGTTCATAACCCTTTCAAATACACCATTTAGCAAAAAGAGCCTGGTATCCAGAGATATCACCTTGCAGACACCTTAACTGGCTACAAACAGGACCTGACCATTACTGTAAGCTATTTGGGTTACAGCTCAAAATATCAACTTTATTTTTGAGCATTAAACAGAACTTTGACTCTTTTTTTCCCTGTCAAATTGTGACGGGGAAGAGCTAAATCAGACTCCATGTTCCGATCTGTTTCTTAGACTTTAACCTTTGCTTTTCGTTGCTTTTGTTATTATAAACATACCTAATGGTCTGCCTCAGGGAACCCTGCCCACCTGCGGATGGCTGCAAGAAAGAAGAAACTAACACATCCCCTCACCGAGTCTGGTCATTCCAGAAGATGCTTTGCAAGACTGATGGCCCTTTTACTTTACTTCCTCACCACCTCTCCCTCTCTGATTCTATAAAAGAAACTGGCATCCAGACCCAGATAAGATGGTTTTTCAGAGACACCGGCTTTCCGAATAAAGTCGTATTCCTTGCCGGCTTTCCGAATAAAGTCTGCCGGCTTTCCGAATAAAGTCGTATTCCTTGCCTCAAGACCTTGTCTCCGATTCATTGGCCTGTCATGCGGCGAGCAAAGCGAGCTTGGAATCAGTAACAAAAAGTTTTATGAGACAAGGACAACTAAGCTAAGATGCCTTGCCATGCAAGATCTCAACTTTTAATGGAGATGTCTTGGTCCGTGTTATTTGAATGAAACTGTCGTAAACATGCCAGCAAAATTTATTGAGACTCTTTATATTTCAAAGCCACTGACATAATTTGTGCAAAAGTCCAAAGAACTGCATCCCAAGCTTTAAACAAAAGATATATACAACCAAAAGAATGCCAGTTAAGGTCACAAAGAATGACCTTATATTTCCTATAATTTCTTGTATTATATAATTTCCTATATTTCCTATAATTCGAGCATGAAATAAATCAATAACAAAAGTGATCCTACAGTAAAGCAGTCAAGCTTTCCCTTGTTGACATTTCTACTTCATTTAGATGCACTGTTGTTTTTTTTTTTAAGAGTAGATGAGGGGCTTCCCTGGTGGTGCAGTGGTTAAGAATCCACCTGCCAATGCAGGAGACACGGGTTCGAGCCCTGGTCCGGGGAGATCCCACATGCCGTGGAGCAGCTAAGCCCGTGCGCCACAACTACTGAGCCTGCACTCTAGAGCCTGCGAGCTACAGCTGCTGAAGCCCATGCGCCTAGAGCCCGTGCTCCACAACAAGAGAAGCCACCGCAGTGAGAAGCCTGCGCACCGCAATGAAGAGTAGCCCCCACTCGCCACAACTAGAGAAAGCCTGCGCGCAGCAACAAAGACCCAACGCAGCCAGAAATTAATTAATTAATTAATTAATTAATTAATTTAAAAAAAGAAGAGTAGATGAGATTTGATTTTAGAGATATCTTGGCTGCTCAAGATGATACATTTTAAAATATGGATTTTTTTTCTAACCTAATATAAAACACTAAAATCAACCACTCTATTTTTATAATATCAAACAATTTTTTCTTTGTATTTAGATATAAATCGGCTCTTTGCTATTCTGCTAATCCACAAATACTGGAGGAAGAAAGTTAAGGCTTATAACTGGGAATACAGGTCATCATTTTCAAAAATAATATTTACAGCTCTGAACTCGAGGAAAATGATCAGTTGCCCATTGTCTGAAGGGGCCAAATGCATAATACCAGAAATGCTAAAAGGTACTATTTCTGTATGCTTTTTAGATGGCTAGGTGAAAATAATAATCCAATACGGTATATTGCCAACCTAAGTTTTCACTCTTAATGCCATTTTTAATATAATTCCTTTTGAGAGACTTTTCCACTCCAAGCGCTTTTCTCACCTTCTTCAAAAGCTTCTGGAAATCTCACTCTGCCCATGAAACCTTCCTATCAGGACACATAATGATTATATATATATATATATGTTTTGCTTTATCAAAAAAATTTTTTTTATCTTTATTGGAGTATAATTGCCTTACAATGGTGTGTTAGTTTCTGCTTTATAACAAAGTGAATCAGTTATACATATACATATGTTCCCATATGTCTTCCCTCTTGCAACTCCCTCCCTCCCACCCTCCCTATCCCACCCCTCTAGGTGGACACAAAGCACCGAGCTGATCTCCCTGTGCTATGTGGCTGCTTCCCACTAGCTAGCTATTTTACGTTTGGTAGTGTATATATGTCCCTGCCTCTCTCGCGCTTTGTCACAGCTTACCCTTCCCCCTCCCCATATCCTCAAGTCCATTCTCTAGCAGGTCTGAAGACACATAATGATATTATCCAACCATTCCATTTAAAAAACAACACCTGGGCTTCCCTGGTGGCACAGTGGTTAAGAATCCGCCTGCCAGTGCAGGGGACATGGGTTCGAGCCCTGGTCCCGGAAGATCCCACATGCCAGGGAGCAACTAAGCCTATGCGCTACAACTGCTGAGGCTGCGCTCTGGAGCCGGTGAGCCACAACTATTGAAGCCCACGCACCTAGAGCCCGTGCTCCGCAACAAGAGAAGCCACCGCAATGAGAAGCCCGCGCACCGCAACGAAGAGGAGCCCCTGCTCGCCGCAAGTAGAGAAAGCCCGCACGCAGCAACAAAGACCCAACGCACCCAAAAATAGATAAATAAAATTTAAAAAAAAGAAATAAAAATAAAACAACACCTGGGGCTAGAACTGAATTGGGGGCTTGTCTGTGCCTTGTGGTCACTGCAGCCTTAGCAATGACCACAAGGTACAGAAGACACAGTGGTGACAACTAGCTGTGGTGACACTGGGCCTGAGCCGGAGCCCCTGGTACAAGTGCCCTACAGTGCTAATCTCTCATCCCCATGGCAATACTGCATTTGGGGGTTTTTCTGCCACAGACACACACTGTGCCTACCAGACTCAATTCCACAGACATCCTGCTTAGCTATCCTCAGAAAACTCAATTAAAATCAAACTTAAAGCAGGCTCGAAAAACCTGGTCTCCTTGCTGAAATACCAAATGAAAGGTCTGTAGAAAAATACAGGCTCTTCTACTGGCACTCTCCCTCACATGTTTATTTCATCTTCAAAATTGAGCCACTTATCAGAGACATAACTGGTTGCCGGCAAGCTATCCCCCCAAACTGCAGGGCATGCTGGGTGACAGGAGGTGGCAGAAACTCGGAAATCCAGGAGAAGTTTCTCACCACCTTCCTGTCCCCAATGCCTAGGAGTCCAAAGACAGACTCTGAACAAGGACTAAACGGACTCAGCCAAGAATTGGGCTTCCCTGGTGGCGCAATGGCTAAGAATCCGCCTGCCAATGCAGGGGACAAGGGTTCGAGCCCTGGTCCCGGAAGATCCCACATGCCACGGAGCAACGAAGCCCGCATGCCACAACTACTGAAGCCCGCGAGACTAGAGCCCGTGCTCCGCAACAAAAGAATCCACCGCAATGAGAAGCCCACGCACCGCAATGAAGAGTAGCCCCCGCTCGCCACAACTAGAGGAAGCCCACGCGCAGCAACGAAGTCCCAACACAGCCAAAAATAAATAAATTTAATTAATTAATTAATTTAAAAAAGAAAAAAAAAGAATTAAGGCAGTTCTCTGGGACCCAAAGGACGCAGGTTGGGTGGTGGTTTTAAAATATGACTGCAGGGTCTTTGACAGTTCCTTCCCATCAAGAGGTGGAATGTAAGTCTCCTTCCTTTGAATGTGGGCTGGCTTCAGGAATTTGCTTCTAATGAATAGAACACACCAGAAACAACACTGAGTTACTTGAGAGACTGGGTTAGAAAAGGTGACACAGCTTCCATCCAGCCCCCTCTGGGGACATTCACCCTGGGTGGGAACCGGCCACCAGGCCCTGAGGAAGCCCAGGCCACAAGAAGAGTCCACGTGGGCGTTCTAGTCCAGGGCCTCTGCTGAGAGCTCAGCCGAGAGCCAGCAGCAGCCACCAGACCTGCGCACGTGGAAGCCTTGGAGACGGCTCTACCCGGCTCCGTCTACACCCGGGAGACACCCCGAGGGAGAAGTGACTGAGCCCACAACTCCCAGACCACGCAAGATGATAGCAGTAAGAATAAATGGACATGGTTGTTTTATGCCACTGAGTCTGAGGCGGCTTTGCTGGGCAGCAAGAGGAAGAGAAGTAGTGAGGCAAAGGAGCATTTCTGGGGGTTGCAGGTCGAGCCCCGAGCGCCTGTCCCAACTGAGGAGCTGCACTAACCCAGCAGGGAGCAGGCCTGGGCAGCCGCAGAGAGAGACCCCGGGTACGCATCCTCCGCGAAACCACGCTGGGGGCAATGCCACCTCCGGGAGCTCAAGGCTGCAGCCTGTGACCCTCGGAGCGGTCCCCACTGCTCCTCTGTGTTCAGGCCCGGACCGAGGGCATGAGTCCTGCGACCTGCCGCTCCTCCACGCAGGTCCCTCTGAGTTCCAGGAGGGGAGGCCCAGCTGCAGAACCAGCGGCGCAATTAGAACCGCTGGGCTAGAGGCCCGCGAGGCCACCGAGGGCGAGAAGAAACACCCAAGCGCTTCCCACCTGAAACTACTGCAGCACGCGTGGGAATCAAATCTGCAGCCCTGCTCATCATTCAGTTCCCTGGCACACCAAGAGCTAAATAATTTACTAATGCTTCTTTTCTTTAGAAAACTTTAACTCTCTAAAAGGAAACAGAAAAACAATGGCAGGAAGTTTTGCAATCCTCTCTAACAGTGACTGCTGTGAAAAGGGCAAATGTGTTATTTCACTAGTAAAACTCCACCTGCTGGGAATTGAGGATTATGCCCTCAATACTTATCAAAGGCATGAAGCACATCATATAACCCTTTGCAACAGAATAATTTAAGCAGTTTTCATAATGTTGTATCACAGACAAAACTCCGGCAAAGAACCCCAACTGTGGCCACCAATTTCATGTTAACTAAAATTTTTCTCACCTTTCTGGAAAATGAACACGTCTGCTAAAAATTACTAATCTTGGAAAAACCATCATTTTATGCTAAAAGTGTAAGACTGGAATTCCTACTTTGAATGCAGAAAATGGAAATGCTTTGTAAGAACGAGAACTCCATATTGCTGCGGAGATAAGACCCTGTTAAAGTAGTTTAAGGTAAAAGTGAAACAGACTGAAGTAACTCTTTCC